AGCCGCGAGCTAATAATGTTGGGCATGAACCCACAACCTTTTGTTTATTCATCAAACCACCCAAGAGGGGGATAAAAAAATGAGGGATTGAAGAATAGAGAGATGTACGATGAGAGAAAGTGAGAAGAAGGTTTTGAGAGAAAAACCGAGCTTGAGGGCCGAGTGATGTGAGAATCACAAATGAGAAAGGGTGGGAAACAATACCCGGAGAAATAGGCTCCCTATGCACGTCTGAGTGTCGTGTCTTTTGTTTTGTCTTCATTCTTGTTTTGAGTCATCTCGAGTGTTGGTCAATGTGTTTAGGTTGTTTACCTTTTATTCTCCGTTGTTGAGTCGTAGTGCGCTGTGTTCAGTCGTAGGCTCAATACCCGGTTAATAACTCATCTCTCAATTTCAAAAATAAAATCATTTTGTGCTCCGAGTGCCGTGCCACTCTCCACACTTGTGCAAAATAAGATTCTTTCTTTCATAAACCGCAAGGGTTCAACCCAGGTCATGAGAGAACAGTAGAATAAGGACCCATCTGAAGCTATATAGGTTCCGGGTTGCAAAGCAAGAGAAAAGAGGGAAAACTTGGAGCATCTTAGCATGTTTCAACTTCAGCAAATTCCGAGACTGCATTCCAGGTGCATCTTGTCAGGCCTCACCTTTCTCTAGAGTATGAGTGTATCTTTACCCCAAGCTTAAGCTTGCTTCAAGTCAGAATGGCAGTCCAATTAGCACATGTGGTTTTAACATGCAGATGTTATCTCTTGCCAATATAAACAGGGTGTACCCTTTTCGAGCTGAGTGTGTTGCAAAGCCCTTTGAGAGATAAATCGGAGGCACCAGAGTACATGTTTGATGCCCCTCTATTGCATAGAATGTGCACTTTTATATACAATTCTATTGCATGCGTGCCACGCATCATTATGATTCATGCATAGAATATGCTTACTTTCGATTCAGCATAGAATATGCTTTGCTTTCAATATTGCATAGAATATGCTTTCCATGTTGCATAGAAAATGCCCCCTTACTTACACAGAAGATGCATTTTATCGCACTTCTTTTGTGCACCTTCTTCGCACTTTTTGGTGCATTGTATCTCTCTCGCACTGCCTTGTGCATTTTCACATTTCATAGCATTCGCACTGTCTTGTGCACCCGCGTTGTCTAACGTATGGCGCTGTCTAGCATATCGCACTATCTTGTGCATTCGTACTATTTTGTGCACTCGCGTTGTCTAATGCATCGCGCTGTCTAATGCATCGCACTATCTTGTGCATTCGCACTGTCTTGTGCACTCGCGTTGTCTAACGCATCGCGCTGTCTGGTGCATCACACTATCTTGTGCATTCGCATTGTCTTGTGCACTCGCACTATCTTGTGCACTCGCGTTGTCTAACTCATCGCACTGTCTAGCGCATCACACTATCTTGTGCATTCGCACTGTCTTGTGCACTCACGCTGTCTAGCGCATCGCACTATCTTGTGCATTTGCACTGTCTTGTGCACTCGCGTTGTCTAGCGCATCGCGCTATCTAGTGCATCGCACTGTCTTGTGCATTCGCACTGTCTTGTGCACTCGCATTGTCTAACGCATCGCGCTCTCTTGCGCATCGCACTGTTTTGTGCACCTTACATTGCATTGCATCATTCGCACTATTTTGTGCACCTCAATCGCACTGTTTTGTGCATTGCATTTCAATCGTGCTATTTTGCGTACCTCAATCGCACTGTTTTGTGCACCTTACTTGCATCGTGTATGCATATTATCACGCTATTTTGCGCATCACGCTATCTTGCGCACCTCATCTGCACTTGTTAATGCATTGCATTTTCATTCATGATGTTTTGCGTATCGCACTGTTTTGTGCATTACATTATTTCATTTGCGCTATCTTGCGCGTCCCACCTGCACTTGCATTGCATTGTATTACATTCGCGTTGTCCTGCGCAGTCTACCTGCACTTGTTAGTGCATTGCATTTTTACGCACTTTAACCTGCATTGTCGTACATTCCAATAACTTGCATTGCCATGCATTTCCTTACATGCATTATCATGCATACCACCTGCATTGTCATGCACTCTTCACTTGCGTCGACACACACGTTTCGCCTCCACCTGCATTGTCATGCACTCTTCACTTGTGTCGACACGCATGTTTCGCTTCCACCGGCATTGTCATGCATTCTTCACTTGCGTCGACACGCATGTTTTGCCTCCACTTGCATTGTACATTACGATTCATTGTATCTATTGCATTGTAGTTTGCATGCATTTACTGCATTATCCATCTATGGTTTGCGCCTTTCCATATTGAGCTTGGTCTGGTATGTGCCCATACTTTTCACGTTGAAGCATGGCCATGATATTATGTGTACGCACCTAGTGTTGAGGGTGATGTCACCATTTCCATGTTAAACGTGGTTTATGTGTGTCCATACCTTTCCTAGGCAAGATTTGGTTTGGCCACGCGCCTTATCCACTGCATCCATTGCATTTTTAGCTTGCATGTATATTGCATTGTACATAGCACATATTGCATGCATTTACTGCATCACCTCCATCTATCACTTGCGCCTTTCCATGTTGAGCTTGGTCTGGTATGTGCCCATACTTTTCACGTTGAAGCATGGTTATGATATTATGTGTACGTACCTAGTGTTGAGGGCGACGACACCATTTCCGTGTTAAACGTGGTTTGTTTGTGTCCATGCCTTTCCTAGGCAAGATATGGTTTGGCCTCGTGTCTTATCCATTCCATTCATCGCATTTAGCTATTACATTGCATTGCATATAGAATATATATTGCATTGTAGTTTGCATGCATTTACTGCATTATCCATCTATGGCTTGCGCCTTTCCATGTTGAGCTTGGTCTGGTATGTGCCCATACTTTTCACGTTGAAGCATGGTTATGATATTATGTGTACACACCTAGTGTTGAGGGTGACCGCACCATTTCCGTGTTAAACATGGTTTGTTTGTGTCCATGCCTTTCCTAGGCAAGATACGGTTTGGCCGCGCGCCTTATCCATTGCATTCATTGCATTATAGTGCAGTGTGTTCATTGCATTATAGTGCAGTGTGTTGCATCCAGCATTTAGGATCACGATCTTTCCTCAGCAGGTCATTCCTCACTTATATCATGCCACCAAATTACCTGTATTTTGTGTTCCGTCTACACACACATAATTCTGCATGTGTACGCGCCTATTCCACTGATGGGATTATGGTTTGAGGGTGTCGGCACCTTTTCTATGGTAGACGGAGTTTTATGTTGTATCTCCATCCTTTTCATGATATTTGTGTGGTTTTGTACTGCTTGTGGTTTGATCATCTCAAATGCATTGCATATCATTTACATTGTTTCAATACATTATATATTATTACATTGTTTTGTAATATCGCATATCATTTTGCATCTTATACTCGCATTGTTATGCGTCACACCTAGGTTGCATTGTCTTGTATCCATACCGCATTGTTATGCGTCACCCTTAGGTTGCATTGTCCTGCACATTTCACTCGCGTTGTCACGCAGTTTTAGATTGCATTGTTATACATATTGCTAACGATATTGTACCTGTTAAGTTTCTTTCTTTTACAGGCACGATATTGTATGTACGGTTCATTTGAGGCTGGCGTGACCAGACAACACTACAGGAAATTAGGGTTTTAACGGCGTTTCATTAACGGCATTTTAGTAAACGTCACCTTTTCTAATAATTAACGACGTTTTTTAAACGTCGCATTTGTTATAAATTAAAACGGTACCGTTTTGTGAATGGAAGACGTTTCAAAAGCGCCTCCAAATCCGGTTTCTCTTCCCATCCTCTTTTGTCTCTCCAAACCTTTATTTTGAAAACCCTATTTTGAGCACTGCCGTCAAGATGATCGAATCCTGTCTCACTCACTCTCTTGCTCTCTCTCTCTCACAGAATCGAATCTGTTTCTCCAAATCTCTCTCTCAGAGGATCGATTCTTCCCAGTCTCTTACTCAGTGATTCTTCTTCGAATCTTCATCAGTTCGGTGATTCATACCGGGATTGCGATTTCGAAGTTTGATTTTGAGCACAGCTCCGTGATTTATGTCTTCGATCAGAGGTTGTTTTGTTTGTGATTTATCCCTGTTTTGGATCAATGTTTTGCTTAGTGAATACTTTTGTTTAGGGCTCTATATAGGTCTTAAGCCCTTAGGGCTCTCAATTCTTCTTCACTCTCTTAGTGATTCTTCTTCGATTCTTCTACAGGTCGGTGATTCATCTCAGGATTGTGATTTCGAAGTTCGATTTTGAGCACAGCTCCATGATTCATCTCCGTGGATTTGGAACTCTTCGTCTTCTTCGATCAGAGGTTTGTTTTTCTTTTTGATCTATACAAATTGCATATATATATATATATATGTATATATGTGTATGTATGTATATGATTGTGTTTATGAAGTTTAATTTGATTGTTGATTGTTTGTTATTTGAGCGATTTGTTTATCAGATATACCATCTTGATGGAAACTTTTAGCTTCGGAGTTTTTTCTTCACATATTTTTAGTGTTTTGTTTTATTTTATTTATTTTACCTTAACTTTGTAACACACATGCTGTTACAACTATTCGGAAAACATTGGCAGAAATTGATGAGCAAGCGGAGCTTCTACCTGTGTTTCTCTGTGATTATTTTGATCGATTCAATTCCTTATTTTGTTTGTTTGTTTGTTAGTTTTTCTATTTCATTTTTTTTTAAGAAATGCTTGATTTTGTCTGCAGTAACATTGTGGATGTGAACTCATATAATGAGTTGAAAGATGCAATTAGTCAGGGGAAATGACCCAAGTCAAAGCAACATTGTGGATGTGAACTCATATGATATCTTTTTATTTGATTCTTAAAATTGTCTTCTGAAATGTTCAGTAAATGACATTCCTAGTTGTCTTAGACCAATAGTTGTCTTCTTATGAAATACATGTTTTCTGGAGGAGAATATTTCTAATTTTATGTTGCAGCTTATTCCCTGTAAATTTCTTCAGTTACAATGTTAATAAGATATCATAAATAGCAGGAAGAAAAAGATGGAGAGGTTCCATGGGTTCTGCATCTGTATACAGCTGAAAGATTATCATCATTTGGAGAGGTGGCACTAATGTGAGTTCTCTTTCTCTCCATTAAATTTTCCTGTATCTGGATTTAATTGTTAGTAGCATATTTTCCATAAATGCCGTTCATGTTTACTTAAACGAATAAAACTCTCTCCATTAATAATTTTCCTGTGTCTGGATTTAAGTGTCAGTATCGTATTTTCCAAAAATGCCGTTCATGTTTACATAATGAGTAAAATGGTGTATAAATAATTAGCCCTTTGAATAAGCAAAAGCGAATCATCAGCCACTACATTTGTGGATCCCACCTAATCATTGATGGGTTGACTTTACATACTCTTTATTGGTACCTAAGATCAAAAGCTCCAGCATAATTTAAATCAGAAATGATTGCAGACATGTTTTGATCAGGATTATTTCTAGTGTTCTCAGACAAACACAACTCTGGTGATCTTAGATCCATAATTATTTTCTAAGAAACATGGTTCATTTCATGACTTATTGTGAACATTTAGGATCATGATTTCCTTGAATTTGTTAATGTTAACCATGGTAGTTTCATTCTTACTGTATGTGGTTTCCTCCGGTACATTTCACTTAGGAATAACAAACCACTCCAGGCCTCTGTCCGTGCTGTGACAAGTGGAACTCTTTGGGCTTTAAAAAGGGAAGATTTTCGAGGAATTCTTACGTCAGAATTTTCAAATTTATCATCATTGAAGTTGCTTCGATCAGTAGATCTGCTCTCGAGGTTGACAATCCTACAGCTGAGTCACATTGCAGAATCTCTTTCTGAAGTTTCCTTTTCTGAGGGGCAGATAATAGCTGATAGGGTAAATATTCTATTTCGAATTAAATGCCTTATTTTTTTTTTAATCTTCCTTCCCTTACATTTTGCCGTGTATGAAGGATGAGGCTTTCTTGGGATTGTACATTATCAAGAAGGGACAAGTTAGAATTACTGTTGATTACATTACGGAGAAGTAATTTGATTCTGACGATACAATTGCAGCAAATAAAAGCTCTTCTTCAGAGTGTTGGGACTTCTTTCTGCCCTGATTATTTAGACTGGTTTGGAAATGGTGCAACTGATTCACATTCCAGAAATGCTGATCAATTTGTTCTTTCAAAATTTTTACAAGCACATCCTGCTGATTTTTCTACCACTAAATTGCAGCATATACATATATCTCCCTTTGTCTCTACACTTAGGCTTAGAAAGAGTGAAGCTCTTGGCCCCTTTGCACACCAACTCTTAGCCTAACACCTCCATCATCAACCTAAGGATCATGGAGGCAATTTTCAGAGGTTGAAGGTTTGGTTTTTTTGGTCTCAAAGCTGCTGGTTTTGTTGAAGCTACAAGGGTAACACACTTTACCCTCATTTGGTCTTTAGTTTGCTTCATCTTTTAGCCACACTTGCAAGCATTTTTGAGCTTTGTCATAAACTGAAAAAAGTCTTATTTTGAGCTCCTTTTGAAGTTTGATTCAGACCACTTTTGTGTTTGGGGTTGTATACCCCCTCTTAGGCCCTGTTTGGCCTCATTTTTGTGCCTTTTTTGTGAGCTTCGGGACCACCTTGTATTGGTCTTATCACCACTGAAATCTAGAGGGATTTAAGTGGTGGGGATGATGTTTTGAGGTCCTAAGAAGGAGAGGGCCATCCCCTCTCCTTATTGTCTTGTTTACTTGCATTTTTGGCCTTACAAAGGAGCCCATATTTGCATGCATCCCAAGCTTGGTTCAGGACCTTTTTGGTGAGGTTTAGGACCTGCATATGCTCTGTCCAGAGCTGGTTTTGCCATATTAGATGTCCTTCTTGCATGTGTAGAAGGACTCCTTTCATGGCCTTTCAAAGGAGCACCTCATTCTTGCTTGTATTAGACACATTTCAGTGGGAATTTGGTCATATTTTGGCGTGCTATGAATTTTTTTTTGGCTGGTTTGGTGGTCCCTCATATGCTCCATATGCTTGTAGTGTAAACCATGCTTACTAGCTTACATTGCATCTTATTTTGGCCCTCCATTCTAGTATATTTTGGCCATGCCTTAAACTGATTTTGTGCATGTTTTGGACTGCCTTAGCTCTGTTTTTATGTCCCATGGTCGAATGGTACATGCCATGTATGCTTGTAGTGTAATAGCCATGCCTAGTCTTGAGTTTTGAAGCCTATTGCATGCTTATATTAAGGTGTTTGCATGTTTTGGCATCATTGGGTATGATATTTCAGAGCTTATACTTGCGCCATAATCTCATGTGTTTCCATGCTTTAAGTGCTATTGAGAGTTGTGCTTGTATGCCATGTTACAATGTGTTGTGCATGTTCTGTTGTTAGCATTGTGTATGCCATGTCACTCCTTGCATTGTGCATGCTAGGTGGTTAGTTGCATTGAGCATGCCATAGTTCATATAGCATTGTGTGTGCCATGTAGTCCATAGCATTGTGTATGCTAGGTTGCATGTTTGCATATTTAGGTTGTATGCCTATTGCTTATTGCTTGCTAGCATACTCATTTTGCATTAGTTTGTTTGCATGCTTAGGTTGCATAGCATTGAGCATGCATCCCTTGCCTCTTGATCAATCGTGATAGCGGTTGGGGCCCTTTATGTGTTTTGTGCATTTCATTCCATATTGAATTGCACACTTGACTCTTTGGCCATCATGCATGGAAATGTGAGATTGGTGGCCCGAGAGTCGAGTACCATACTCCCTTGAGTCTTAAACATGATAAGAAGGGTGGTTGTGCATACATTGCTTTGAAAATGCATTGCCATGCTCTGTTTGCCCTCTGCTGCTGTCAAACAGAATTCTGCAGGAAGAGATGGCCGGCCGGCCATCTTCAGTGCCGACCGGCTATCCATTGTTGGCCGAGAGCCTCACAACTGGTCGATGACCACTTTTCCATGGCCGGTGACCATTCCTCTTGGCCGGTGACCTTCCATAGTGTTCAAGGAGTGTTCCAGAACCGTCCTTGGGACTCATGCAATTTTCAGAGGCATAAAGCAGTACAAACAGAGGCAACTGTGGCATGGCGATGGATTTCTGAGCGGTGCCGAGCATGCATACATTCATCCCTCTTCCCGATGCTATTTTACTGCTTTTAGTAGCTTAATTAATTTGTCAATTAGTTAGGTGGTTTTGTAATTAATTAATTAGCTTGTTAGTTGATTAATTTGCATTATTCATTCGGTCCCTCTGAGAGAGGGCAAATTTTGTAATAAGCGTGCTTGTGTGTGATGCATGTCTTCCAACCCCCACTTTTTTCTCCCTTTTATTTACTAGCTTACAATGGTTAGTTTTAGGGCACGTTTCAATTAGCATACTTATGATAGTATGTTTGCACACATTCATTCGTATTGCATGCACCGGGCTCGGCGCATCATACTAACTGCATTGTATTTCAATTCCAAGTTGGATACGTGTTAGTTGTAGCATCTCACATGCCATCTTAGAATAGCCGAGCCTATCTTAGTTGCATTTTGCATGTGGTGCATTAGCCGTCTTAAACATGAACCAGGATCATGAACTGATTTCTTACAAGTTTTTGTTTTGGCTCGGAGTACTCGGTAAGTGTTTATGCTTTAGCATCCTTGCATGCGTGTGAGTGATTGCCATGATAGCATGCTTACCATGAGGCTATATGCTTATGTGATATAACTGTCTAAATGCCTGTGGGTGAAGGTTGGGTTGCTTGAGTTGGAATAATTTGTCGAAACCCGTGTTTTAGCCTACTTACGAGTAGCAAACTTCAATCCATTTTTTGAAACAAACGAATATACGATACTTTGTTCTAACTTAGGCAATCCAGTCTATACTTGTTTTGCTGTGCGCATCACGTCTAGGCTAATAAACCGGCAATAAGAGCACATAAGTTTTTAAAAATCAATATCATGGTTAGTAGAGGTCGATCTTTGATCGGGCGAGCGAGGGTGCTCATTTCAGGCTTCCCCTCTCGTACCCAAGTTCCTGAGCCGAGGCAACTTTGGTGATGACGGACACGTGGCCTTAGGCAATGAGTCAGGGTTTCCTAAATTTCCCCAAAATAAATATTTAGGTGGCGACCCTGTATCTGGCAAAGCAGTCCATGTTTGGCACTTCTTTCTAAAAAATTGATTTTTCAAAACGATTTGTCAGATTTGGACTCTTTGATTATTCATCGGTCTTGCATTGCACTCTACGAGATTAGATACAGGACCGTGACATTGAGTCCTGAACTGTAGTAAGCCCAAACGAACAAAACGGGATTTCCTCCTGGGACGTTTCGGCGCGTCTATAGTTTCTGGCAACTCTGCTAGGGATTTAGGGAACTTGACTCGAACTCATGATATCTTGTTTTGACTACACTTATGTGTTTCTTTACATTGCATTTGCATCGGTGCGCCTAGGACATCGTGTTTGCCGTCTGCTATTCCTGAACGGTTTGCCGGAGGCTCGCTTTGAGAAATGTGCCATAAGGCTGACCGGTTATGGGCTGCGCCATGATGGGAACACAAACCCCGATTTTTAGCGGGGCACCCATTTTGCCCATTCGACCTAGTGCATATTCGGAATCCATAGTGACTATTCCAAACTAGGACAGGTTGCTTACCCGATTCTAGGTTGTTTGAAATCATTGCGTGCGTAGTGAAACCCTTGCTCCTGAGAAAATAGGACAGGGAAACCCTACCCCAACGTAGGGGTGTTTTGGCTCTTACTTGCTTGCTATGTGCTTTTAGAGTGTGTCTCTACAGGGAATGCATATATCAGTTCGCAAGTCCGAGTATCAGGCCCGCGGGCATCAGTATTTGGTGGAATCAGTTTTACCTGAGGGTATCAGTTTACAGGCAGAATTTTGGGTAAAATTCAGTAGAGAGCATGGTCATTCAACTTTGCTCATATCTGTTTTGGCGAAATCAGGCTGAGGTGCTGTCTGTTTTCTCTCTTGCTAAGTAGTCTTGGAACCATAGCTCCAGAAGGGTCTGATATCCCTCGGGTACTCTGGACCTGTGTTGTTATGTGATCAGGGGATGAACCACTTGCTATCGGTGCTCAGTTTACTGCAGATGTGATGGATGACACGCACTATTTTGAGCATTTGCGAATGCTGTTTATTCTACTTTTTGACTTGGGTATTGAGTCTGTCTTGTTATATCGAGTCAGTCCTGTTGTGTCTGTCCCGTTGTACAGAGTCAGTCTTTTCATACTGAGTCAGTTGGGTCTATCTTGTTGTATCGAGTCAGTCCTCTTTTGTTAGAGTCGGGTGATTCCGGGGATGTTACCTCAGATGTCACTATTTTGTTTTGTGTTTGTCTCTTTGCTTTCTTTTTGAGTCTGTTTCTGTCATGGAGCCAGTTACACCAAAAGATCTGAATGAAGCAATAATGGTTTTCATACTTCATGCTTATTTCTACTTTGAGCCTATTGTGCCAAAAGTTCGGAATGAGATGACAGCATTTGACTAAAAATTGTGTCTTTTCTGTGCTTTGAAATCATTATATTGACCTGAGTTTTTCAAAACTTTTTGAACATTGTGATGAAAACGAAGAGGAAGGAATTCCTCAGGTTATGCAAAATTTGATCAATTGAGAGAAAGAGAGGCATGCTAAGCCCTTAATCAATGAGATCATGTTTGTTAATGTGAGTACTGAGAAGGATCCTGGCTTGATCCAGATTGGTTCTACACCGTC